CCACTCCTCACAGCCGTGACATCCTAGCCACTTAACCAAAGCAATGACGGAGGATAAAATATATCCCATGAGAAATCCCAGCAGAGTCACATGAAGCTAGCACTGTCGAAAAACCATAAGCCACGGTCTAGGGAGTTGAAGTGAAACTACAATAGCCCCTCAGCAACAAACCAAAACACAGCCAACAAAATCATGAGATCAATCATCACATCCCCCAGTCCCTTCCTTGGTAGATCACAAGCCTCAAACCCAAAAAAAATGTTTCTGAGTCTCGCAAAGTACTCTGTTGATGATTATTTAATTCTGTTTGGTCTTTGCTGGATTACAAGGTCTACTATAAATGTGTAGAATCTGTTTGGGTTACATGGTTTAGCAGCAGTTCTTTGACGGTGATGCATGGTTTGTTCTTCAGTTCGGGTTGACTCGAAGCTCGAAGCTGGATGTGATTGTGTTGATGGCTGCTACATGCGCCTCGTGTGTGAAAATTGACTTTCCATTTTGTTTTTTTTCTTTAGAGTGTGTTGGTATTTTTGCCTACCCGTGTGGGATGTACACGGGTGTGCGTGATTTTCTGTTTCCATCCGATTTTTTGCTGCTTAGATATCGGGTGTGTTCATGTTCCTCATTACATTTTCATGCGGCACATGAACACACTTTGGTTACTTCCTATTATGTATGGTTTATTTAGTTTAGTTTTTGGCTTATTTTATTTATTTTGTCCAGATAGATATGGTTTGGTCGTCAGCCTTTCTGGGTAATTCTAGAATGGCTTAGTCTTTTTGTTTTTCCTTTGGTTCTTGTATAGTCCTTTGGTTAGGGCCTGGGGTATGCCCCTTGTCGTGGTGTAAGTTTTTTGTCTTTTATTTTACAACTTATCCACCCAAAAAAAAAGAGAACTTACTGAGTAATTGTAACTTAACAACATTAGTTTAACTTAAACACCTCATTTAAGGTTTTTGATATCTCCTAAGTGTTCAATTCTCAAGTCCAAAAGGTTGAATTTGAGTCCCGTTTGATTTTCTTCCAATTTCTCTTTCTTTTCTCTAACTTTCTTGTCTAGCTCTCAAGATGATAGTTTCTCCCTGACTTTCTCTGTGCTTCTCCATCCTTCTCTCTTTCGTTCTAGGAACTAATTAGCTTAGGCCCCTATTTGTTTCATTAGCTTAAGTGGCCAGGCTGAAATCAAACTAATCTTGCTTAGCCTCTAAGAAAACGAATTTACAGGGGTACTGTAGCTTAAAGATATTAGTTCAATTTAAACATCCCATCTGAGGTTTTCAAAATCACCCAAGTGTTCAATTCTCAAGCCCAAAAGGATCAATTTGAATTCCCTGTAATTTTCTTCGTATTTCTCTTTCATTTTCTCTAACTTTGTCTTCTAACTCTCATGAAGAAAGTTTCTCCCTAACTTTATATGTGCTTCTCCATGCTTCTCCATTCTGTTCTAGTAACTAATTAGCTTCGGTCCCGTAAATGTGTCATTCGCTTAACTGGCCAAGTTTAACTCAATCTAATCTTGCATAGCCACTGAGCAATAGAATTTACTGAATATTTGCGGCTTAACGATATCAGTTTAACATAAGCACCACATTTATGGTTTCTTAAATCATTTAAGTGTTAAATTCTCAAGCCCAGAAGGATGAATTTGAATGAATTCCCTTTGACTTTCTTCCAATTCCTCTTTCTTTTCTCTTGTACTTTCTCTTCTGGCTCTCAAAGCAGAAAGTTTCTATCTTTCTCCTTGCCTCTCTGCCATTCTCTCTTTTGTTGCGGAAACAAATTAGCTTGCGCCCGTAATTGTTTCATTTGCTCGAATGGCCAAGTTTAACTTAAACTAATCTTGCTTAGCCTCTCGGCAAGAGAATTCACTGAGTCATTGTCGCATAACGATCTTAGTTTAACATTAAACACCTCATTTAAGTTTTTCGAAATCACTTAAGCGTTTAATTCTCTTGTCTAAAACGATGAATTTGAATTCCCTTTAATTTTCTTCCTATTTCTCTTTCTTTTCTTTTAACTTTCTCCTCTAGCTCTCAAGAAGATAGTTTTCTCCCCAACTTTCTCTGTGCTTCTCCATCCTTCTATCTTTTGTTCTAGGAAACTAATTCGCTTGGGACCCTAACTGTTCCATTAGCTTAAGTGGCTTATTCACCCAAAAAAAAAAAGCTTAAGTGGCCAAGTTTAATTCCAAAAAATCTTGCTTAGCATCTAAGAAAGAGGATTTTCTCAGTAATTGCCACTTAACGATATTAGTTAAACATAAGCACAGCATTTAAGGTTTCCCAAATTCCCCAACAGTTCAATTCTCAAGCCCAAAAGGACGAATGTGAATTCCCCATGATTTTTTTTCCCGTTTCTCTTTCTTTTCTCTAACTATCTCTTCTATCTCTCAAGAAAAAAGTTTCTCTCTAACTTTTTCTGTGCTTCTCCGTCCTTCTCTCTTTTGTTCTAGGAACTAATTAGCTTGGGCCCCCTAATTGTTTCATTTGTTCAAGTGGCGAAGTTAATATCAAACTAATCTTGCTTAGCCTCTAACAAAGAGAATTTACTGACTGATTGTAACTTAATTTATTCACCCAAATATTGTAACTTAACAACCATTAGTTTAACTTGAACACCTCATTTAATGTTTTCGAAATCTCCTGAGTGTTCAATTCTCATGTGCAAAACGTTGAATTTGAATTCCGCTTGATTTTCTTCCTATTTCTCATTTCTTTCTCTAACTTTCTTGTCTAGCTCTCAAGAAGATAGTTTCTCTCTAACTTTCTCTGTGCTTCTCCATCCTTCTCTCTTTCGTTCTAGGAACTAATTAGCTTGGGCCCCCTAATTGTTTCATTTGTTCAAGTGGCGAAGTTAATATCAAACTAATCTTGCTTAGCCTCTAACAAAGAGAACTTACTGGGGCCCCCACAATATCCCTAAAGTGAGTTTTGTGGTTTGGATGGCGATTCTGGGCAGACTGAGCACTCGGGACAGGTTGCACCTTTTTGGTGTGATACAATCTACTGTATGTGTATTTTGTCAGTACCATAATGAAGACCATAACCACCTTTTCTTTGAGTGTCCATTCTCGGAACGGGTGTGGTCTTGTATTAAAGGTAAAATCAATGTTGTTTGGTCATCCCTCTTTTGGGATGATTTGGTCCAGCTCATTGCTAAATCTGTGAAAGGGAATTCCTTAGGGACTATTGTTACCAAGCTTGCATTTACTTGTACTGTGTACCAGTTATGGGTTGCTAGGAATAATAGAGTGTTTAGTAAAGATATGATCCCTGAAGAGGTTGTTATAAAGTGTATTGTGGATATGGTTAGATTCAGGGTAATGCATATTACCAATTTGAAGACTAATCATAATGACTGATGGTATCTTAGCTCATGGAAATTGCCTCATATTATGCCGAAGCTTGCTGCTGCTGATGTGAGGAATAAGAGTTCATAAAATGTGGGTTGAGTGAAGGTTAGAAACTACATTGTGGGGTTTCTTAATGTTTGTTATTCATATAGGTGCTTGGAGTCCTGGAAAGCCGATTGTTGAGTGTATGCCAATCAATCTGAGGGTTGAGTTTCGTGTGAGGAATAAACACTCCATATCCCCCACATTACTAGCCACATTGAGAGGAACTAACAAGCTTTTATATATTCTCTGTATCATTTCTTTCGCGGGTGTATGGAGCTTTGTTCTTCCGAGTGATGTGAGCATAGATACTTGTGGGTTGAGTGTAGTGAGCAATTATATGTGTCACGTTAAATGTTTCATGTTTCTGAGTCTCGCAAGTACTCTCTGTTGATGATTATTTAATTCTGTTTGGTCTTTGCTGGATTACAAGGTCTACTATAAATGCGTAGAATCTGTTTGGGTTACATGGTTTAGCAGCAGTTCTTGGACGGTGCTGCATCGCTTGTTCTTCAGTTCGGGTTGACTCGAAGCTCGAAGCCGGATATGATTGTGTTGATGGCTGCTATATGCGCCTCGTGTGTGAAGATTGACTTTCCATTATGTTTTTTTTTCTTTAGAGTGTGTTGGAATTTTTGCCTACCCGTGTGGGATGTACACGGGTGTGCGTGATTTTCTGTTTCCATCCGATTTTTTGCTGCTTAGATATCGGGTGTGTTCATGTTCCTCATTACATTTTCATGCGGCACATGAACACACTTTGGTTACTTCCTATTATGTATGGTTTATTTAGTTTAGTTTTTGGCTTATTTTATTTATTTTGTCCAGATAGATATGGTTTGGTCGTCAGTCTTTCTAGGTAATTCTGGAATGGCATAGTCTTTTTGTTTTTCCTTTGGTTCTTGTACAGTGCTTTGGTTAGGGCCTGGGGTATGCCTCTTGTCGTGGTGTAAGTTTTTTGTCTTTTATTTTACGACTTGTCCACCCAAAAAAAAAAGAGAACTTACTGAGCAATTGTAGCTTAACAACATTAGTTTAACTTAAACACCTCATTTAAAGTTTTCGATATCTCCTAAGTGTTCAATTCTCAAGTCCAAAAGGTTGAATTTGAGTTCCATTTGATTTTCTTCCAATTTCTCTTTGTTTTCTCTAACTTTCTTGTCTGGCTCTCAAGAAGATAGTTTCTCCCTGACTTTCTCTGTGCTTCTCCATCCTTCTCTCTTTCGTTCTGGGAACTAATTAGCTTGGGCCCCTAATTGTTTCATCAGCTTAAGTGGCCCGGTTGAAATCAAACTAATCTTGCTTAGCCTCTAAGAAAACGAATTTAAGGGGTAACTGTAGCTTAAAGATATTAGTTCAATCTAAACATCCCATCTGAGGTTTTCAAAATCACCCAAGTGTTCAATTCTCAAATCCAAAAGGATCAATTTGAATTCTCTGTAATTTTCGTCTTATTTCTCTTTCATTTTCTCTAACTTTGTCTTCTAGCTTTCAAAAAGAAAGTTTCTCTCTAACTTTATCTGTGCTTCTCCATGCTTCTCCATTCTGTTCTAGTAACTAATTAGCTTCGGTCCCGTAAATGTGTCATTCGCCTAACTGGCCAAGTTTAACTCAACCTAATCTTGCATAGCCACTGAGAAATAGAATTTACTGAATATTTGTAGCTTAACGATATCAGTTTAACATAAGATCTGGGTTTAAAAGAAGGGGGGGTCAACGATATAAGCTGTCTCATCTCCCAGTGCCAGGAATCCCCATTAACAATATTGCTCACTTTAGCCTCCCTAGAGAGACCAGAATCATAGATAATCCTATTCCCAAATTTGTCCCAAATAGAGCCCACCGGATGCCAATTATCATACCACAAAAAGGTAGCATTACCATTCCCAATTTTGTGGACAATGAGAGGAAATATTGACTTCCTAAGAGAAAGAATCTTCCTCCAGACCCAAGAAGGGTCACTAGGAACAGGGACTTTCCAAAAACTTTTTCCTTTGAGTAAGTAAGACTTAACCCATTGGCACCACATTGACTTCTCACCCCCCGAGAAAAGGAACCAAATATGTTTGGCAATAGCAGCTCTATTCCAAACCTCCAGAGATTTAAAACCCAGACCACCTTCAGACTTGGGAGCACAAACCTTATCCCAAGCAATCTTCGCACTATGCTTCTTCAGATCAACCCCGGACCAAAGAAAGGCTCTAAGTAAATTTTCAATTTCTCTAACAACCTTCCTAGGGAGGATGAACAACGAGGACCAATAGACTTGCATGGAGAACAGGATGGTTTGAATAAGCTGAGCTCTACCAGCATAAGAGAGGGCCTTATTGGTCCAACTCTTAATACGGTTAGTGATCCTATCAATAAGCTGCTGGCAATCTAATGCTCTCAACTTAGTGGTGATTAAGGGAACACCCAAGTACTTGACAGGGAGGGTACCTTCCTTGAAATTTGCAATCTTGAGAATTTCCTCCCTAAGACTAGAGTCACACCCGCAGAAAAATATGTTACTCTTGGCAGCACTAGGAGTAAGACCCGAAAGATTCTTGAACTCCTCAAGCCCATGCATAATCATCTGAACAGTAGATGCATCCCCTTTGCTGAATATCATTAAATCATCAGCAAAGCACAAATTAACAATCTTAGTCTTCTCACATCTCCAATGGAATTTAAAAAGATGATGCTTGGATTTCTCAGCAAGGATTCTAGCCAGGATTTCCCTAGCCAGGATTTCCCTAGCCAGGATTTCCATAGCCAAGACAAACAAATAAGGAGACAAAGGGTCTCCCTGCCTAAGGCCTCTTGCGCCCTTGAAATAGCCATGAAGGCTCCCATTGATACATATGGAAAACGATGGACTAGTGATACAAGCCTTAATCCAGGAAATCATAGAGGGTGAAAAGGCCATGGCCTTTAAGGACATCAATAATAAACTCCCATCTAACAGTATCGTAGGCTTTCATAATGTCAACTTTCATAGCACATTTAGGAGTAACGGACTGACGATGATAACCTCTCATAAGCTCTTGGGACAAAAAAATATTATCAGAGATCCTCCTACCTTGCACAAAAGCAGATTGAACAGGGTCAATCAAATTAGGGAGGACAGCCTTAATTCTATTAGCAATAATCTTGGCTATGCACTTATAGATAGTGTTGCAACAAGAAATAGGCCTAAAGTCACCCACTCTCGAAGGATTAGGAACCTTAGGAATGAGAGCAATAATAGTGCTGTTAACCTCAGAGAGAAGTTTACCAGACTGGAAAAAGGTTCTAATTGCTTGAGTAACTTCCTTCCCAACAATGTCCCACGAGGCCTTAAAAAAACTACCCGTAAAACCATCCGGGCCAAGGGCTTTATTAGCCTTAAGGGACCAAACAACATCCTTGATCTCTTGATCGGAGACAGGACTACCAAGCTTTATAGATTGTTCCACAGAGACTCTAGCCTGGACCAGAGAATTAATCCTTTCAAAACCATTGTACTGGTCCCTGAGCGGGGTACCAAAAAGGTTTGTAAAAAAACTAATGAAGCCTTGATGAATGTCTTCAGGCTTAGATGATTTGCTACCATCCTCCAACTTAATGCTAAGGATTTTACTTCTGTTAATATTGCTCTTAACAGATCTGAAAAAGAATTTGGTGTTCCTATCCCCCAGACCCAACCAATCAACCCTGGACTTTTGATGGGCAAGACTCTCCTCCACAGCACATAAATCCACATAATGCCTATAGTTAGTTCTCTCAAGATTCTGCAACATCAGATTACTCGGATCCTTGTCCAATTTATATTGAACAGATTCAAGGTCTGACTTAGCAACAAGGACTCTAGTAGATATGTCACTAAAATCTTTCTTGTTAAGGTCTCTCAACCCAGGTTTCAAATTTCTAAGCTTTTGACAAACTCTGAACATGGGAACACCCTGAATGTACTGACTCCACTCGTTAGAAACCAGAGAAAGAAAGTCCTTGTGCTCGGACCAGAAATTAAAGAACTTAAAAGGTTTCTTGTAAGAGGTGACAGCATCAGAAACAATCACTACAGCAGGAGAGTGGTCTGAGATTGTAGAAGGTAGAAAAAGAGCAGTAGAGTTGGGAAAATTATCCAGCCAAGACTCATTAACCAAAACTCTATCAATTTTAGTGGCAATATACTCCCCACAATCCCTCTTGTTAGCCCAAGTAAATTGGCAGCCAGAGTAGGACAAATCATCAAGCTCAGAGGCAATAATATAAGAATTAAATCCCTCTTTCGAAGAGTGCCAAATCTGAGAGCCTCCAAATTTCTCATGACTATATCTAGTAGCATTAAAATCCCCTAAAAAGGCAATGGGACAATTGGACTGAGAATGGGATAAACGAACCATGGTTTCACAAAAGACCCTTCTCACAGAGTGGTTATTATCAGCATACACAAAACAGGCAAGGAAGCTAGAGGCCTGAGTGAGATCAGTAATCTTACAAAAAATATGTTGGTCAGAGGCAGATAGCTGGTTGACCATACAAAAATTGGAGTCCCAAAAAACACAAATTCTACCAGTTTCATTAGGTTGTGAGTTTGACAAAAAGGACCAATTCTTTAAACAAGAAGAGAAAATTTTCTTTTCATTTACAGCTTTTAATTTTGGTCTCCAAAATACCCATGACTTTAATATCTTCTTTAACCACAAAATTTTTTAGCTCTCTATGTTTAGAAGGGTCATTCAACCCTCTAATATTCCAAGCAGCTATTTTAAAAGTCATAGAGAACAAAATACAAAACAAAACCCACAACTAAGAAACTGAGAATTACCTCTTCTTTTTCCTCTGGCTACTGCTGCTCTTGCCAGAGGATTTACCTTTTGTTGGATGATTGGGTACAGGACTAGCCATTGGACTACCAAGATTTGAATCCTTGAACTTCTGGACTTCCTCTAGCAATGCTGGGTCTTGAGGGATGATAAGGCTTATAACATCTGCCAAATTGCTCTTCATCTTTTGCAGGCCCTCAAAGTAGGGAACATCTTCCCCGGTGACAGCCGAAGAACCAGCAAGATTCTGAGAAGCAGCAGGCCTGTTGTCCTCTGCTACTGAGTTAGAAATTTTTCCTTGAACTGTAGAAGGCACTTCCCTATTCAAAAGTAAATCCTCATCAGTAGCTTCAATTTGGTCAGGTAGGGAAACCTCCCCTGGCACTTCTTCCTGTTCATTTGTTCCATGAGTACCCTGAGGGGCAGGGATTGCCTCATCTCCAGCAATGACTCCAACTTGCTTCTTTCCCTTAGCCATAATAGTGGTCCAGCCAGGCTCAGCAAGATTCTCTTCTGTTTCTTTCTAGAGAGATACCAGTTTAGCCACTTGAGTAGTAACACATCTAGTTGTGTCATGGCCGAAAGCAACACAATGCTCACATTTAGCAGGAAGACCTTGGTATTCAACATTCACAACAATTGTTTCACCATCACAATTAACAGGGAAAGAAGGTGGTTGTTTGGAAGAAGCATCAACTTCCACACACACTCTGGCAAAAGCAACCCTACCCCCACTAGCCGTGAGTTGATCCGTAAACAATGGGTTACCAACAGCACTGGCAATCCTACCAAGGCCATCATCATCCCAATATTCTAAAGGAATGTTATAGAACCTAACCCAGACTGGTACTTTAGTCACCTTATCCTTTGATAATTTCATCATCCGTTTCCATTTTTTCAGAATAATATTGAAGCCCCCGATGTACCAAGGACCTCCCTCCAGAACTTCAAAGCAACACTCAAGGTTATCAAAAATAAAGAAAATAAAACCCTCACCATTAGCTAAAACTTCTTTAAGGCCCTTATTCTTCCACATGCTAAATGCACTATTCTTCATGTAGTTGAAGTTAACCCCTTTCCCTAAGAAGTAACCCACCAAACAGGAATCCCACTTTTGAAGGGGATTAGGTCTAGGGGGCAAATCAACACTGATAAAGTCATCTTTAACAGTGGGAGGGAAATACCTGAGAGAGACTTGCGATCTTGTAGACGAATTTGTGATTTCAGCCCACGATTTCCCCAAATGATTTCCAGATCCCCTACCTCCACCACGACCTCTGTTGCCTCTTCCTCCTCGAGTATTTGTACCTCTGCGATCTAGATTATCACCGAATGAGATATCCTCCCTTTGTTCTTCCTGACCCAGAAAGTCTTGTAGATTTTTCCTCACAGTGTCAGACGGCTGACTTGACTCACCCTCCATACCCTCACGAGATTTCCCATCACCTCTATTCCTTGCTATTTCCAGGCTATCTGGAAGCCTATGAAACACAGAATGCTCATTCTCACTACGATCTGACCAGCGAGGAGTACCAGGAGTCGAAGGGGCTCCGATGGCCAGGTTAGGGTTTGACGATTTAAGCCTTTCAACCCGATCTATAATAGTCCGGGGATCAAAGGTCAGATGGGGGGTTACGAAGTCACGTTCTCCTTTGTGATTTACCATTTGATCCACCAGATGAGGACTATCTCCTGAGGCTTCTGCCATCTTTGATTCCTGAGGATCGTTCGAAATAACCCTTCCCTCGTTATGCTGAGTTGCCATGTCTAGGGGGTTAACCCTACGATCAGATTGAGATTGGACCGAGTCGCTACTATCCTGTCCAAGAACAGATACATGAGGATTGATCTCCGATGAATCCATAGCCTCACCACCAAGGATATCGTATTTGTTTTTAAGAAACCCTAGTTTATCACTCATGATGTTTACGCCAAAGTCTGCCTTGCAGATTGTGTCAACACTTACAGAAGGTGAAACATTTATGGGATCAGCATTAACTCCTACCATCGTATTCAATAAGGTATTGAAACCCTAGAAACAGAGTTTCTAGAGAGATGCGGGAGCTTCACACTCTAACCCATAACTAAACTAACCGAAGGGTAATGCATATTACCAATTTGAAGACTAACCACAATGACAGATGGTATCTTAGCTCATGGAAATTGCCTCATACTATGCTGAAGCTTGCTGCTGCTGATGTGAGGAATAAGAGTTCATAAAATGTGGGTTGAGTGAAGGTTAGAAACTACATTGTGGGGTTTCCTAATGTTTGTTATTCATATAGGTGCTTGGAGTCCTGGAAAGCCGATTGTTGAGTGTATGCCAATCAATCTGAGGGTTGAGTTTCGTGTGAGGAATAAACACTCCATATCCCCCACATTACTAGCCACATTGAGAGGAACTAACAAGCTTTTATATATTCTCTGTATCTTTTCTTTCGCGGGTGTATGGAGCTTTGTTTTTCCGAGTGATGTGAGCATAGATACTTGTGGGTTGAGTGTAGTGAGCAATTATATGTGTGATGTTAAATGTTTCATGTTTCTGAGTCTCACAAAGTACTCTGTTGATGATTATTTAATTCTGTTTGGTCTTTGCTGGATTACAAGGTCTACTATAAATGTGTAGAATCTGTTTGGGTTACAAAGTTTAGCAGCAGTTCTTGGACGGTGCTGCATGGCTTGTTCTTCAGTTCGGGTTGACTCGAAGCTCGAAGCCGGATATGATTGTGTTGATGGCTGCTATATGCGCCTCGTGTGTGAAGATTGACTTTCCATTATGTTTGTTTTCTTTAGAGTGTGTTGGAATTTTTGCCTACCCGTGTGGGATGTACACGGGCGTCCGTGATTTTCTGTTTCCATCCGATTTTTTGCTGCTTAGATATCGGGTGTGTTCATGTTCCTCATTACATTTTCATGCATGAACACACTTTGGTTACTTCCTATTATGTATGGTTTATTTAGT